GCAGTGGAAGTGTAATGGCTCAAGGGGTTCCACTGAAGAGATTAATAAGACTGTCTGCCATGTGCTTTGGGTGATACTCAACCTATTGAGTGTGGGTGAGCCAGGGAGCTTCTTTCATTTTGGGTAATTTTGACATCACTCAGAATGGCTCTCTGTGGGTTTGCTGATTATTTATTAAATAAAGAACAGTGTCTTTATTCTATAAAAAAGAGAAGAGATTAAAATGTCACTGGGTTGCAGAGAATAGTGTCAGGAACATACTTTGTATAATATTTTCTCATAAGAAATAATCTTTCATGTAGATCTAAAATCCTTGTATGGTAGCTATTATTTGTCAAGCTCTTGCTTACATTCATTTTACATTTTTGTTATATGATTTAAGTTATAATGAAGGAATTGGATAATATACTTTTAGAATCTTTGCAATTTAAGGATTCTGAATTTCTAACATCCCATTTTGAGAATACTCTTTAATAAGGAGGCATTGGGTCTCTTAGAATGAGTGAAGGAGTCAAGACTGAGACCTTAGAAGGTATATTTTAAAATAAATTTTCTAGGGGCCATTTCTTGTAGGTGTCTGAAGGCTGGTCATTCTTGAGATCCTACTATGATACAAACCTCTAAAAATATTTTATCTTTTTTACCCTGTATTATATCAGATTTTGGGGTCTCGGGTAAGGGAAGAGGGAGTTGTTTTCTTGCAACTCAGAAATTTCTATGCTTCACATGACAGATTGTGATCTTTTCAATTCTGTGCCATAACAAATCTATGTCTATGACAGGCAGCCATGACCTATGTAAAACAATTTGAGAACTACCTGGGGGATGTTGTTCCAAATTTGGAAATATAATTTATTTCCCATTCTTACCTGTGTGATATTACAAGTAATCCTCCATAATATTTAGACTTTTTAACTCTAACTCAAATGATTCATATGAAAATAATATATATATATATATATGTATGTATTTTGAATCAGGATTTCACTCTGTTGTGCAGGGTGGAGTGCAGTGGCAAAATCAAGGCTCACCACAGTCTTCCACTCCTGGGCTCAAATGATCCTCCTGCCTTAGCCTCCTGAATAGTTGGGACTACAGGCACATGCCACCATGCCTGGCTAATTTTTTGATATTTTGTAGAGACAGGGTTTGCTATGTTGCCTAGGCTGGTCTTGAACTTCTGGGCTCAAGCAATCCTCCTGCCTTGGCCTACCAAAGTGCTGGGATTACAGGCATGACCCACTATTCTTGGCTGAGAACAAAACAATAAACTGTGTCTGAACATTTTTTCTAAGTTCTATAGTGTTATTGGTATGTAAAAAAAGGGAAGAAATCCAATTGTTTTCTTGGAAAATTCTGCTATAGTGCCTGACATTCTGACAGTAGGAATTCATTATTGAAGGTTAGACCGTTATGTTTCTAATTATTAATTTATTAAGAAATAGATGAGTAAGATCAGGTATGTATCATAAAAAAATTAGGTCGCCGGAGCCCATGGGTTTGAGACCAGTCCTGGCAACTTGGTGAGACCTTGTCTCTACAATAAAACAAAAAATAGCTGGGCATGGTAGCGTGTGTCTGTAGTTCCAGCTACTTAGAAGGCTGAGGTGGAAGGATCGCCAGAGCCCAGCCGGTCGATGCTGGGTTGCCGTGAGCATGCCACTGCACTCCCGTCTGGGTGACAGAGTGAGACTCCAACTTAAAAAAAAAAAATTATG